CTGTCCTGGTTCAGGGCCTCTGTTGGGTCCTCTCAGCTATTTTCTGTGATTTCAAAGTCTTGTAGACAATCACGTGGTTTTTCGTGGAGCCCTGTTTAGGTGTGATTTTGTTGTTAAAAATATGGTGGAGACACAGAAACCCTTGTTAATTATTTGGTAGAAATTGCATATCTTAATTTTTTCTTCCTCATATTCTTGGCCTTTTAAAAGGAACTATACTGTTTGGGTTTCTTCGGCCTAGTTAAAAATTGGGTGAGATTAGAAAAATATATTTTTTAACTCCTTTGAGCTCACTTAGGTTTTACATTTTGCTTTCAGTTTCTTTTTGGATTTTCTTCGTAGAGTCTTATATTTTAAAGGGTTCCTCAAAAAGTGAAACAATTACCATAGGAGCTAGCAGTTCCACCCTGGGTATATTTGTGAAAGAATTGAAAACAGGGACTCTAATCCTTGTGTACAGATATTCAGAGCAACACTGAATATGTTCACAATACCAAATGGCAGTAATGCAAATGTCCATCAATCAACAAATAGATAAACAAAACATGTCATAGCCATACAATGGAATATTATTCAAACATAAAAAGAAATGAAGTACAGACATATGCTACAACCTGGATAAACTTTGAAAACACTGTGCTATAGGTGAAAGAAGCCAAACACAAAAGGTCATATATGATTGCGTTCATGTGAACTATAGAGAAATAGGTAAATCCGTAGGGACAGAAAACAAATGAGCGGTTGTCAGGGGCTGGGGAAGGGGGTGTGGTATGGGGAGTGACCACTTAATGGTATGTTTTCTTTCGGGGTGATGAAAATATTTTAGAACTAGATAGAGGCAGTAGTTGCACCAAATTGTGAATATCCTAAATGCCACGGAATCAAATACTTTACAAATGGTTAATTTATATTATGTGAATTTTACCTCAATCACAAACATTTTTTGAAGAGGCAGCACATATGTGTTTTTGCCAAAGGTGGCTTTTCCAGGGACACCACACAAGAGTTGCTCTCCAGAGAGGCCTTTAATGCTGGTTCAGAGAGAGAGAGTGTGTGCAGGTCCCGCTGCTGGGGCTGGGCTCTGGCTGTGCACTCAGAGCGGCCTGTCCTCAGGCGCAGAGTTAGCCCCGAGAGGAGGCTCCCCTCACTCAGCCTCTTCTTTCTTCTGTGAAGAGGGTTGAAAAGTAACCCTCATAGGATTGCTTTGAGAATGAGGTGAGCTCAGAGATTGAAAGTGCTCAGCACACTAAGTGCTTACTAAATACTATCCTTTATCTCTGGTCTGTGGAAGACAAGAATGAAATGGGCTCAGGGGGAGAAGCAAAATCTGGAACTGGAGAAATGGGGGTTGATTTCAGCCATCTAGGTTTAGGTTAGACCTTTCAGAAAAGGATTAAAAAATCCCGTTTTCCAGATTCCTTTTAGAAGGCACCATTAACATGCGCAGCCAGTGAGGCGAGTGAAGGCCGACTTCTGCCAGCCAAAGCAAGCAGCACTCACGCTGCGCTCAGAGCACTCACTGCAGGTAGGGAGGGCGAGAGAACTGTTTGACTCGATTAAAGAAAAACAACCCCGGAACAACCCAGGCGAATTATAGCAGTCTCGACAAGGCAGTGATGGGCACATGTCCCCGCCCACTTCCCTTCCTTGCTCCTTCCTACCTGAGGGGTACCTGTATCTTGTCAGCCCTCCACTCTTTGCAGGAAACTGAGCTGCTGGGTTCATCTTTGTACGCTGGTTTTGTGTTTCTGATTCCTGCTTTCTGCTTAGAAGAAGGGACTTTAGTCATCACCTGGGCCTGGATGACCTCTCCAAGCAGCGTAGAGGAATGGGAAGACTGGGATCGAGGGGGGCCCACCTCACTTAGCTGGAGGGGCAGAGGGGCAGCGGGGAGGCAGGGAGACTACAAAGGTTGGCCTGACTTTCTGATGAATAACAGATTTTATGTCTTAGCACAGAAGTGTACTGTGGAGAAGACTAATTTTAGGATACATATTGCTGGGATGTAAATGGGTACATTGCCCTCTCTCTCTCCTGATTCTGTTTGCACTCAATATCTTTACTGCACAATTAGTGCCTTATTACATAAGTATTGTTACTTCACAGTTTCCTGCTGAAATAATACCAGTTGTGGTGTAGACATAAGAAAGATCATTGGACTTGGCATCTGAAGAGCCGTGGCCTAGCAGCAGTGTGTACAGAATTCCTACTTATTTTTTAGTCTGCCTGGCTCTCTTCTGGGGAACTGCTTCCCCCTGACCACTCTTGGTGCCTCCCAGGGGTAGTTCCTGCTTGGTCCCCTGTGGACCCTTGACCTGACTGGGGTCGCCAGGGCTCTCCCTGAAGGTTTGTTGTTGTTGTTGTTTTTTTTAAATTTCCAGTAAAGGGGAGAATTGATTATGAGTCCCAGGTGTTTTCAGAGACTCCAAGGGCAGTAATGGGAGCCATGTAATAGAATGTTAAAATGGGGCTTCTCCCGCCTCTCTTTCTACAGAGCTAGGGACACAGGGATATCCTGTATATACCACAGTGAATGTGAGGCAGCCTCTTATGCAGAAGTTAAAAGGAAGAGCCCAGAACTGGTTTTACCACTTTTGGACCCCTCAAGCAGATCAGAGCTACAAAGAGGGGGTGCGGAGGGTTAGACTGTGGAGAGGATTTAATGGAGACATGTCCTTAGAGGAGCTGCCTCCGTCTGTCCTGATGTTCCCACCATTTTACTATTCAGCACAGGGCTGGGTGAGTAGAGAGGCACAGTGGGCATCATTTCAAGCCCATCTCCATGGAGTTTTGAACTTGAAGCCCAACAGCCTTTTCCTCTGAGGTGGTGAAGCTGGGAAAATGGGGGTCTGAACTCGGTGGCCCTGGTTTCCTGTCTGGAGGAGAGAGCCGGGCTGCCATGGAGCAGGAGGGGGCCATAGGTAGAGAGAAGCTGAGATTCGGAATGTGCTCGTTGGGGGTCCTCTGCTGCCCCCTGCCCTTCGCTGTGGTAGTTCTTTTTTGCTTACACTAATTGGATGGGCTTTGCTTTGTCCCTTATAACCAAGGGTCCTAAGTAATAATACATGGAGTGACCTTCAGCGACTCGCAGAACTTTTGCTTTGTCCCTTATAACCAAGGGTCCTAAGTAATAATACATGGAGTGACCTTCAGCGACTCGCAGAACTTCTCAGTCTTGTTTTTCTTTTGCATGTGTACAGTGAGGTAGCCATAATCACCTCGCAGTTACTGATATGTCCAGATGAAATAAGGTATGTGAAAGCTTTGGGGGACTGTAGCATAGGAAACAGGGGGCTCTTACAAGTTTGGTGATTATTTTAATAACACTAATGATTTGATTGCTCGGAACACTGTTGGTTTCTTAGTTTAAGGTAAACATTCTTACAGAAACAGATGATGTCTTTAGCACATTCCATTTTTTTAAAGAGTTAAACTAAGCTTGACCTAATCTAAGAATTTGTAGAAAATGAATGAATGGGTCTTGATAGATTATGGCCTTTTCAAGCCTAAAATAAGCTTTCTCTGAGTTGAGCCCTAATGATGTGTTGGGGAGCATCGAGTACAGATCTTATATCAGATGGGCTGTTGTCCATGCCTCCTGTGCCAGGGAAAATTGTGCTGAGATTTTAGAGTGATTACATACTTACTTGGCTTTGGAGTAAGTAGCCTTAGGTTCAAGGATCCTGATGTTGTCGCTTACTAAACCATGTTGTCTTGAGCCACAATCTTGTCATCTGTACAACGGGACTAAGATTCTCAACCCTGCAGATTGAATATTAAGATGATGTATTTCAGGTCCCTAGCTGTATCTTGTATGTGGTAGGTGCTAAATAAATGTAGCTAAATAAATGTAGCTGCTACTATTAAAAATGATAGCTTCAGTAACAGTTGCAACTAAAGAGGGTAAGACTAAAAAATAAGAACCTGAATTTGGTATTTAATTCCAAGCCAATCAGTATAAAAATCAGATAATGAACTCCCATTGGGTGCCTCATCTTTGTGAGGGGTAGGGGTAGAGTGGGTAAGGAGGTATATAACACCATTCCTGACTATTGGGGGAACAAGTCGTGTGCATATGGAGAAAAACAGGTACCGTATAAGGAACCGGGCTTTGGAGGATGGCAGAGGGTTGGAAATGACGAGACATCCCAGAGAGAGCCTGCAGTTGATGGTAAGTGTAATGAGGGAAGGGGAAGTGATGTCAAGAATGAAATGTGTAGGGCAGTCTTTGGAAGAGGCCAAATGATATATACACATTATGCCTCACTTTCCTGTTTTATTTTTCCTTTGTCCTCCTGATTCCATTCCAGACCCGCTTAGTGTTTCCGATCATCACGATGAACATCCATACCCGTCACGCATTCCAGAGTTAAACACTTTTTTGCAGACTCGTTTTCTCTGTGAACAATTGGCCTTTTGTTAGCCCACACCTTTAAATCATCAGAATCCCCTCAGCAGAGATTGCCTCCCCCCATTTTCTCTGCCTTATTTTAGTTTCCCCCACCATAAAGGGCCTTTTTGCGGTTTCATCTCTGAATCTTGACTATCAATTCAGCAGGTGTTTGTTGAGCGCCTACTATAGGCAGCAGGCAGGGCGGTGGGCTCAGGAGGACGGAGGAATAGAAAGATTAATGAGACGGGTAGTCTCTGCCCTGAATCTGCTTGCTTTGTAGAGGAAACAGATGGGCAGACAGACTCTAATTAAATGTGATTAGTGCTTTATTTGGGTCAGAGAGGGAAAGACATTTGGCGGGAGCCCCAAATCCTCGAGTCCTCCATCAGCCACTTGCTGCTGTGCTTGGTTCAGAAAGGCTGTCCCCCGCCCCTGCCCAGCCTGGAAGTGCATTCTTTAGCAGTGGCTACCATTACGTAGCATCTTGCTACAAGGTTCCCTGATGGTAAAGTGCTTAAGTTCCTTTTGTCACCCCCACCCAAATCCTCCTCCAATCTAGATGAAAAGTCTAGATCTAGAAGTTCGATCCTTTCCTCTCTTTCCACAGACTTAAACCTGCACCTCCCCTGGGTTCTCCAGTGCATCAGCTCAGAGGCCTGAGAGGACCTTTGACACCGCCCTCTGTCTCGCCCCTGTTCTGATTATTCACCAAGTCCTGTCAGCTGTGTCTCCCATGCCTTTTCTCTTTGCCGTCTCCCACGTCCAAGCCGTCATCTCTAGCTGTAGGTCACGACCCTGGCTACCGGGTTCTGGAATTAATTTAGAGGATTTTTACCAACATTAAAAAAGAAAGAAAAAGAAGTAGAATGAAAAACATTAGAGTGGAATGCATGCAGTGAAGTTGTTTTATTTTGTGAAACCTTGTGTTTGTATGTAATACTTCTACCAAAAAAGGTTAACATTGCTAAAGGTGTTACGTATTGACTTATTTACCCCCCACAACAACCTATGTGGTAGGATCATTATTGTTATCGCTGCTTTGCAGCTGAGGAAACTGAGGCTCAGGGCAGTTGAGAAACTTGCCCAAGGTCACAGAGAGTGCCAGGGGTCCAGCCCACCCACCAGCCCAGACAGGTAGCCTGCCTCTCATAGACTCTGTGTGTGTGTTTGTGTTGGAGGGGGGGGCGGGGGGCACGTGCGGAGGGGGGACTGGGTTGCAAAGTAAAGTGTCTTACTCTGCAAGTTGTGGTAAAAAAAAAAAGTTGGAAAGTTTCTGTTTGGCAGACATCTGTACCTTCACTCTTATCCCCCACAGATCTCTGAGTGGCAGCCCCAATAACCTTTTATAATACAAATTGGATGATGCTTCTCTATAGCAGGGCCCCATATTCTTAGGACAGTGTGCATTCCATGTGGTGACAGGCCTGTGTAGCCTGGTCCCTGCTGCTACTTGAGCCTCACAGCTCATCCTGTCTCACAGGCTTTGAGACCCCTCGAGTCCTGTGAATGTGCTCCCATGACCTCAGACTCAGGCCCTTCATGACTGGCTCCCATGGTACCCTGTACTGCAGTTCACGGCACTTACTATAGCCAGAAAGTAATGGTTTCTTGTGTAATTGATGCCTGTCTGGGGAAGGGACGCGGGCTGGCTCATACCCCTAGTGAGGGCAGTGTCTGGCATATCAGTCAGTGGATGCTTGCTGGGTGTCCATCAGCTGACTTACTGGACTAAAGGGGTCTATTTGCCTGCGTGCATCAACACCCCATAAGAAACGAACAGGAGCTTGCAGCAAAGAAGGTCATAGTTTATTATTAGGAAGTGGCCCACGCCCAGAGTCACAGGTGAGCTAGTGCTCAAACACCTGGCTCTTAGATGGCTTTCCGGGGATGGGTTATATAGGGGGAAAATTGTTAATCATGATGACCAAGGGCAGTAGGATCATGGTCTGTACTGGTTGTTCAGCACTAGGGTCGGAGGGTCATTGATGCAGCCATGACATCACTTTGTCTGGTTTCGCTGCTTTTGTGGGCCTGAAGCTGAGACACAGCTGAGGCCTGGATGTCATCTTTAGTGTGACGGAAACTGTCTCTGTGGTCGGTAAACCTGAGGCTTTGTTCCTAAGGTTATTTGATGTGGGTCACAACTTCATTTTCCTGAGGGCTTAATGCTTAAGGGAGTGGTCAGACTAGGGAGAAGGAGGCAAGGAAGTCAGGGGGCTGGATGGGACCAGTTTGGGTCAAAGGAAAGGAAGGAGAAAAGGTCATACTAAAGAAATGAAGTTTCTTTGAGGTTACACTGTGGATGGTGAAGAAGGGCAGGAGTCTCATTTTTGGCTGAATTGATTGTATCAAAATATTCCTTACTCTTTTCCCTGACCTTGCTAGAAAGCAGTTCTTTAATTAGCCATGTTTATTTTTATAGATGGGGTCGAAATTTTTTGAGTGTGTGTGTATAAGATTTTTAGACAGGAGGGAGAAAGAGAGGGAGAGAAACAGGAGAAAGAGAGGGAGAGAAACATGAATGTGTGGTTGTCTCTCATGGCTCCCCCACCCCCGCGGGGACCGGGCCTGCAACCCAGGCATATACCCTGGCTGGGAATTGAACCAGTGACCTTTTGGTTTGCAGACTGGCACTCACTCCACTGAGCCATACCCGCCAGGGCTATTTTGCTGGATTTTCAATGTGCTATTCTAACTGGATGAAGAGCTGCTGGAGTTAACCTATTGGGCGGGGCCCTGAACTCCCTGTGGGAGACGGCGCTGTGGTCTAATGAGAGTCCTGGACCCCAGATCAAGAGGAAAAGGCCCTGCTTACACCATGTCTTTGTGATTCAGCCTTGAGACAGCCTCCTAGTGATGATAGTGTATCCACGTATCTCCTGACTGATTACGACAGTCGACAGTCGGAGGAGATATATTGTATGTGAAAGGTAGGCGACAGAACAGTGTTGGCTCTTCAGCAAGGTGGTGGTTTTGTTTTTCTTCTTTTTTAGGTCTCCTTGTGCATGACAAAATCCATATAGGCCCAGTTGTCGTCAGGCACAACCAAGGTCAAGTGTAGTTCTCTAATCTATTGAGTGTAGCCCTGGGGCAAAGCCATTTGAATTCCTTCTCTAAATTCACATATTGGTGATTTTTTAAAAACCTTGATATTTGGGCCTTGGGAAGCTTTATGGATTATGTTAGTGCAATGACAACTCTGTATTGTACTTTGGCCCTGAAATAATAACTACACTGATAGTAATTACAGCTTTTGTTTTTTGGGAATCTGCCATATGCCAGACACGTACTTAAGTGTCTGTGATATATTTATTACCTGTCCTCCCACCAACTTGTGAAGTAAGTGGTGCACTCCACATGTTGCAGATGATGAAACAGGCCCAGAGAAACTTACCAAGGTCTTCAGTTGGAGTTCTTGTAGGACACCTATCATTTTAGGTACAACTACTGTACTAAATTTTTTTTTTTTGACTTAGAAAGCAATGACTGTAAGCTCCTTGAGAGCAAGTTTTAATGGTTGTCTTCTTGTCTGCTCTATATGGTTTGTGCCCTTGATTGGTGTAATCCAACTCCTCCTGGGTAAGCTACTTAACCCGGGGCGGGGTGGGGGGGGGATGGGGGGGCGGGGTCTGATTGTCCAGGCCAGGAGTTCCAGTTTCCATGATGGATTCTGTAGGGGTCTCCAGAAGTGCTTCCTGCTCCTTCAGTTCCCGCCCCCAGTGGTGGAGTGCATGCTCTGGAACAGTGATTTTCAACTTTTTCATTTCATGGCACACATAAACTAATTACTAAAATTCTTTGGCACATCAACAAATATAATTTTTGCCGATTTCACAAAAAAGCAGGTATAATTTGATTCATTCACACTGGATAGCTATTATTGTGTTGGCTGTTGCCATTTTTTTTATTTGACAATCTAAGGGAAAAGAGCTCAGTGCCCCTGACTAAAGAGTCAGGTGTTGCATGTTTTAAAAACTCTTGCAGCCCACCAGTTGAAAAACACTGATCTAGAAATGGGAGCTGATTTCCTCTCCTCTATACTTCTTTTTATTTCTAAATGCCGTTTATCTTTTCTGGGTTACGTTGGTTTTCCTTCTTTATGTTACAGTTTATTGCTCTTTGCTGGCTCCTTTATTTTTATTTTCCAGACTTGCTGAGATACATCTTGATTTTGGCATCTTTAGATGTTAAAGCCCCACACTTTGTTACTGATGACTTCCCTCATTTTGCAGGATTCCATTTGGTTGCAAGTCTATTGTGCAAGACCCTGCTTCTTTCCCTTCCATCATTAAATTTTATTATTTTTTCCTGCTCTTTTATAGAAATTTATAGTTCATTTTATGGATCGTAATAATGGCCCCTCAATGCCCTGTAGTTTGATTTCCAATCATATGTTCATGGAGCAGAGGGCACATTTATGTGTCCTTGCTCTTTCTAAAAGGCAGGACTATATCATTTTGGTGCTCTACACCATTCATCGGCTCTTGTAAGATTGGTTTTGAACACCTCCTCAGTGTGGCAGACCACGGGTGCCCCTCGCCCCACTGCCTCCTCACCTCATGTCACCCGCCGTTAATTACTGCTTCCCCGTACACTTAGAGCAGCAGTTCTCAAACTTTTCATTGCAAGACTTCTTTAAAAATTCTTAAAAATTAGTAAGGTCCCCAAGAACCTTCAGTTATATGGATTATATCTATCTAGTAATATTTATGATATTAGAAATTGGGATTGAAAAGATTTAAAAATATTTGTTGAATTTGTTTAAATATAGCAATAATAAACCCATTACATGGTAACAAATAACATTTTTAATAAAAGATAACTATTTCCAAAACAAAAACATTTAATGAGAGAGTGACATTGTTTTACTTTTTTCCAGATATCTTAAATGTCTGCTTTAATGGAAGACAATTGGATTCTCTTAAATGCTTTTGCAATCAGTCTGTTGCAGTATGTTGTGTTGGTTAAACTATATGAAGAAAAATCCAGTCTTACACAGATATGTAGTTGGAAAAAGGGGAGTAATTCCCCTTCAGTTAATTGTGGATAGTCTTTGAAACTGCATCAGAGCCTGACAAGTGGTAGTTTCTTAAAGGTTTGTTGTGACATAGAATCTGAAATCATAAAAATGGACTTTTCATACTCTGTTACACTAAAATCTATTCATCTTTGTTATGCTTTGAAAGGCTCTTGTATGCATTTTGTAACACCATACATTAGTCATTTGGAAAATACCACATTTATTAATGTCACTGCCATGCTCACCTGCAGTCTTTAAGTATTGAGATGCTCTAAAACTCACAATGGCCAATGTAAGTTTTTCAAAATTTTAATTTTTGCTCAAAAGCTAACATTTTTCCTTTAGCAACAAATACTGTCCATTTTCCTTGAAATAACAAGGTTGCATTACTAATTTTTGAGAAAATGTCTACAAATAGCCAGACCCAAGTAACCACAATTTTTCTCTCCATCATCTTTCAAGTAAACGTGGTGTTCCATGAAAGAGAATGGCTGGCTCACGGCGCAGCTCAGCCATGCGGGTGCTCTTCCTTCCTGGCAGCCGTCACACTTTGGCTTGCCTCAGGGGGGCTTTAGGAGAGCTTTCCACCCTTTCACCTGGGACAGCAAAAAGATGGGCACTCGGGGGTCAGTATTTAATAGAACTAATAATTTTTATCTCTTCATCAAGGACATTGTTAGGTGAAGTTGACTTTTTTAAACCATGACTGTGTGGTGGTGGAGAAATACCATGACCCCTCGTACAGTCAGCTGCCTTGATTCT